ATTTCAATTGAAAAAATTAAAAAGAAGGGATAAGGAGGAGGGGGGAATTTTATCCCTTTATTCTCTTTTCTTATCTTTATTTCGATAAATTAATAAATTAAGAGAAAAATAAAATAAAGGAAATTTTTTGCTCTCTCTAATTTTTGTAATAATCAAATAAAGAAAAATTTTATTAACTCCTTTCTTTTCATCTATTCCCCTTAGTCTAAACATACAATAAGAGTGTACGATTAGAAAATTCCTTATATATTTATTTAGTTTTTTCCCTTCCATCAAAAAAAAAAAAAAAACGAAAAAAGGAGCGTTGGTCCTATTCAAACCATTTTAGCCCAATCCATTGGATTTCTAGGTTGATCTATGGTTGCTTAGGTTGGGCCTGCTTTTTCAGCAGCCTAAAATTATACTGCCCCAATCCAGAATGTGCAAGCCTTATTTTCAAGGATGAAAAGTTTCTACTCCGAATCCAAATTCTTTCTCAAGGATCTTGTTTGTTTTTGTTTTAAAACGGTACCCGATGTTATAAAGATTTAAATAAACTCCTAAATTTAGAATGCATGAGTCATTTTGAACCAATAAAAATAGAAGAGAAAAGGGAAAGATAATTAAGGAGCCGGTTTAGGGGGCTATATATCATCATAGTGAAACTAATGATGAGAAAAACACATAAATCCTCTATGAATCACGGTAGGTGAATATGGAGGTGTGTCTCTATTTTTGACTACCTCCAAATGTAACTAAATCCAAAGTTGGACCACTTGTCTCTGCTTTCTGCTTCCCTCCCTCCGCCCGCCGACATCCACTCGCATGGGCTAGAAAGACTCCACAAAAAGAAGACGAATTCAGCTCCTTTGTGGTACTCGGCCAAACTTACAGTCATCATATCGAGAAAGTGTTTCGAATAACTATGATGTTCATCTTATCGAGAAAGTTGACAATCAAAATTAGGACACATAATGTATCATCTAATTTTAATTTTAATATCGGGATCAAGATGAATAATTCAAACATTCATTGTCATCGTTTAGGGTATTAAGTGTTTTCATGTACATGATTGATAGAAAATGAAACAAAGAGGGAATAAGAAAAGCATATGCATGCTTCCTAGCTAGAGGGTCAGCATAAATTAGGGCGGAAATAGTGAACAATATGCTAAATTCATCATTAGTCCTTTTCTAATGACCCACCCCTTTGCAACTTTTATTTCGGCTTTCATCGCATTAATCAACCCCAATCATGGCTAGCTAAAATGATCTACTACTTTTTGTCAAAACTATGGGCTCACAGGACTCATAGAGCTGATAAAAAAGCAAAAAAAGAAAAAAAAAAAAAGAAGAAAAAAAAAAGGGACCTAAAATTAATACAATGAAGAAAATAATACTTTAAAACTTTCTTTTTATTTTGGGTTGAAAAATAAAACTTTATTTACCACTTTGCTGAAAGTAGTAGTTGGCTATGACATTTAACTACACAATAAGATGAAACTTCTTGGTATTTTTGTTTTTGCTTGAATACCGGACTCATGATTGGTTACTTGTATCTTTCAATTTGCAAAGAACATGCATAGGCTAATTAATCCATTTATAGTTTGCTTGCAAATGCCTGCTGTATGATCCTACAAGAAGAGATGCCAAAATTGTAATTGGATTCCTCATGGACTTTGCTTCTTCGTATCGTTGAATTCAATTAAAAAAAATAATTAATACATACTTTGAATCAATATATTTTTTAATACTTGTTTCAATTTAATTATTAAAATATAATATAAATACAATCGATTTAGCTATGTTCTACATCTTGTATATATAGTTGTATTTTTAAATTTATTTATTTTTAATTTTAGATAAAAATAATAATAATTTTTTAATAAATATTTTGTATATTGTATTAAATGAAAATATCTACCAATTAATATTCTTTAATAGAAGCTTGTACCTAACCATGCCTTAATTAAGGTTCATTGCTTTTGGGTTTGTAATTCAAACTTGGAAGCAGGGGCGATGAATTTTATGCCATTAGTTGAAGACCCACATAGGAAATATGAAGTTCATTCCTTTACCATTGCCCTATTGGCAATAGATTGACATTAACATGATGCTTAACTAATGATTGAGTTTCGATACGTTAGCAAAGAAACAATTTCAAATTTGAAGATGTTGATATATTTTAGGTCCTTTTACCTGGGGCCAATAATGTGAGATGAAGACCCTCGAGTTAAGAAAAGTTAAGAGGGAAATGATATGGTAGTCAGTAAAGGGGATTTATGATTGTTACAATGAAGCAATTCATAGTAAATTTATATTCACAACTTTAGAATTATTATAAATTATATGTAACTTCAACCACCATACCAGAGACTTTGCTAAAATAATAGAAATATTGACCAAATGTGAACTAAAATAGATCGAGTAGTAGCAAGAATTAATATTCCGAATAGTATGTAAATTAATTAAATTTGTAGCCTGCTTGAGAATCAAGGAAACTTGCAATAAACGAAAAGTTATTCTTCAATGCAATCTCACCCAATTCTTTGTTGGATCATGGAACAAACCGTTATAAGAAAAACCCATAAATTCTGTGAACCCTCAAAAAAATTTCTTGTTCTTGCCTTACACATTTTCAATTACGTAGCCTGTTATAAGGGGAGAGTATTTAAACAGACAAAAATGTATTTTTTAGTCTTAAGTACAGGTTGAACTATAAATTTATTGAAATATTTTTAGTAAAACTTTCTTATACTTTAATTAATTGATTAATGATACTTTGATTTTTTTTTTTTTTGAACAAGTTTACATTTGAGAGGGAGGCATTCAAACCCCAACCATTGGGTGGGAGATAGGGATGGTAATTTCCTCCGTGACTCGTAGAGTTTTGCAGTGATCCTTGCCACAAGGATATAGATTCCAAGAATATTTATCTCCGTGGACGAGGTGGAGGCATTTTTTTCTTCGCAAAATTTTGTGGGGAATTTCTTCCTCCCTGTGGGGACATGTGGGATCCATATAAAATAAAAAAATATAAATTATTTTTTTATATATTTTTTATAAAAATATTAGCAATTAATTTTTACTTACCCAACCTAATTAGCTAATCTAATACCAATGCAACCTAAATTTCACAAACCATTCTTTTTTAGTTTTCCCAAACTCAGTTGTCTAATCCAGCCCATTCCTTTAATTAATCTAGTCTTCCCAAACCTAATTGCCCAACCCAATTAGCATTGGTAACCTTAGTAAGACTATCAAATTTGAGATTCCTCCTCGCCTCTACGTTGTAACTCTATTTCTGTTCCTCAATCCATGATTCCCTTCAAGCTCTTACTGTCACTACTCATTGTGCAACGTTGATCTTCTCCCATCTCTCACTCACACTCGACAACTCTTCTCCAATCTCTTAACCAACCATAGACAACACATCTCATTCTTGGCATCCCTCGTTATAACCACTGAAAACAACAGTGGTTGGCTACTTACCTGAGTTGCCTCCACTCACGGCTCACCTCCAACTCCAAGGCTCTAACTTCAAGTCGTCCTCCTTACCTCATGGGACAGCAAGTCCTCTGAATCATGGCTCACAAATTCCTCCTTTGCGGTTCTACCTCCAATTCTCCTTAAGCTTTCTAACTCTAGGTTAGTAGGTTCTCCTCACCTCACACTTACAACACATCTATTTTTCTTCTCTGTGCTTTAGTGCTTATGATTTAGAGTACTTCAATAAATTTGAAGCTATAGTTTTTCCATTAAACAATTTGTTTCTAATCAATTAATTCACAAGCCATTGACTTAATAACTTGAAATTATTTCAGGAAGTTATTTCCTCAACTTGAAATTATTGATCAACCTTAGCTTAAGTTGCTATTGCATAGTTTGCCTTGCTGGATTGGATGGATGTGTATGCATGTGTCACTTACTAGACTCTTTTATGCCCTTTTTCTTAATGAACTTATTGCTAGACATGTATGGCAACAGTTTATGCATTTTTTTTATGAACTTTGTTGAACCTAGACGTGTATGACAATTGCAGTTTAACCCTTTTTTTTTTTTTTTTTTATGAACCTTTTGCTTGATTTGTTGGACATATATGGTAGTTTATGCTTTTTTCTTTTTTATGAACTTGTTGTTGACTTGCTGGACCTGCTTGACATGTATGTATTCGCTGTGTATATTTGTTGTTTGTCTGTCCTGTTTTAAATTTTTTACTTTATATGATTATTTGAACTAGTTTTATTTGATGAATGTGAAAACCAATAGAGTCTAAGTAGACTCATGTTGAGTTTAATTTTGATTAACAAACAGCAAAAATTTTGATTAACAAGATTAACAAGCAATGGAGTAGATGATAGTTTTATTTGAAAAAGATTTTGAATAACTACATGAACATATCATTTCCTGTGAGTATAGGGACGGTAGTTATTTTTGATGGATTTTTATACTCGCCATTGACGATGATGAAGATGGGGAGGGGGTCCCGCTCCCATGGAACCCATTGCCATCCCTAGTTAGAGGTTGCACCTTACAATTGATTTATAACAATTGAGCCATGAATTCCCACGTGCGATACTTTGATGGTTTTGATATTAAAAAAAAAAAAAAAGCAAAATACAAACAAAAATATAGTGTTCTCTTAAACATATAAATAATGATTTTGATATATATATTTAACTTATCAAAATGTAGAGGAAAAATATTATAACAAGACACTTTAAAATAAATTTTTATTAAAAAATTAAAATAATATTTTTTAAAAATAAAAATATTTTATTTTTATATTATTTTATTAAAATAATATAATTTAAAAAATTTTAATTTAATTTTTTAAAGATTTGTCTGCCAAACATTACTTTCAAATATTATATAAAAATATTATTTTAAAGCTTGAAATAGTTGAAAATTAATTATTTTTGTTCTGATAAATAGAAAAATGTCTTATTTTTCTAGAGCAAGGATGGCAATCAGCAAAGCAGAAAGCAAGAGACTTTTCAGCTTTTAATTTCTGCTGGAATTAAAAAAAAAAAAAAAACCCTGAAAATAAAAGCAAATTATTAAAAAAAGGAAAAAAAATTTCCCTCTTCCTTCTCGTTATCCAATCTCTCTCTCTCTCTGTTTCTTTCTTCCTCTGTCTTCTTTGTTTTCTCTCTCCTCAGATCGTTCCTAATTTCTCGTTACAAAAACCCTAATCTCCCGAATTACACTTTGATCTTAACTCAATTCTATTTGTTTGTATTAATTCAATTTCAAAATTATTTCTTTTTTTTGTAGTTTTTAATAATCTTCTGTTTCAATTTCAAGGGAAAAAGAAAAAACAGAAATAGTTTATTCGCAATCTTCTTAATCATAGATTGTATCTGTTTTTGCTTCCATCTGGTTTTTCTCCGGAATCAGTTTCTCTATTTTTAATAAATTTCATTGCTTTTTCTTGTTTTGCATAATCAGCAAACGCAAAACAACTGGAATCAAAATAGGAGCTGTTTTTGTTGCAATTTGAAGTTCGTTTCTTACTGGGTTTTTGTGAAAATCTATATCTTTTCCCAATTCAAGCTCGAAACAGAGCATGGAGGGAGTCGTAATCATCTAAATTCGTCAACTTGGGCTGGTTCCTTTTGTGGGGTTCTATGGTTTATCATCTTAAATTTTTCCAAAAAGAAAGAAGGGGAGAAGATAGAGAAGAAGTAGCAAGGGAAGGAACGGCCAAGGGTTATGCTTAAAGGAGAAATTGGACAGCCAGTGATTTTGTTGTTCTGGGTGCTTGCTATTTTAATGTCTTTGGTTCTTGGGATTATGAAGAAAAGTGGTGATGGGCAGCAGAAAACGCAAGGTGGTGGTGTGGTTTCAAGATCGGCTCGGAGTTCATTTCGTGCAATTTCTAGCTACCTGAGAATAGTCTCCTCGGGGGCGTCAACGGTTGCCCGGTCTGCTGTGTCGGTGGCATCTTCTATTGTGGATAGAGCCGATGATTCTGGACATGATCAGGTTAGCAATGGAAATTTATTTCTGTGTAAATTGGAGAATTTTTATTTTTTTTTCCGTGTGTGTAACAATTTTGGAATAAGTGTGCTATATTTGTTTGAATTTGAGTGTTTGCAGTTGTTAAACATGCAATTGTTTTATCTTAGCTATGAGGAAGTATAACTCCTAATAGATGTGCTTAAGTTGAATTTTGTATTTTCATGGTTTAAACTGTGTAATTTAGCTTCTTTTTTCTTTCTGGAACTGGTACTAGATATCTGATTTCTAATAATTCAGTTATTGTTGGGATGAGTCTTTGGTCTAAATGGAGAGAGTTTAAGATTTATGGCAAGCTTTAGGATAATAGCATGGCAATAACTAAAACTTTTAATGGCAATGAGTGGTTTTATCTGATTAATTGTTTCATTCCTCTTTAGGAAATACACTAATTTGGCTTTCTATCTAGGCCAACAATTAAGTCATAATAAGATCTGCTTTATTATTTTAATAGTCTAGAATTAGGTAGGATCACAATACTTGTGTTTTGAATAGAATCAAGTTTAATGCCAGCACAAGGAAAAAAAATAAAGAACTGAAGCAAGTTTGTTTGATGACCATTATAACCAATTATGCTGGTATTTCCAACATTTTCTGCAGTTTTATTGTTTTGATTTGTTGTAAATATTATTGTTTGGCTGGGCACGAGGCATCTGTTTTGTCTGTCTCCTGTCTTGAATTTTTTGACCTATTCTAGTTAGCAATTTTAACTCAATTTTAACTCGTCTCTTTTAAATTTTAGTTGACTCCTCTTCAGCATCAAGCTTATGTGATTTGTACATGTTTCTGTGACTTGATTTTTTTTTGGGTGGGGGGTGGTGGGGTTGTTGTTATTTTTTGGATGAGTGAACATAACATACTTTTATAAGTCAGATGATATAAGATGTACCACATGTTTAAACTTGATAGTTTGATGGTTTTTTAGGCATAACTTGATAGCTGGACTCATTGGGCATATTCAATGTAAATGGCTGAATGTCTTCTTACACCTGTGCAAGGACATGGTGCACATTTTCTGAGCTGTGTAGATGGTTTGGATGTGCATCACATTGCAAAAAAGTTATACCTCCTTTTCCTGGTTAATAATAATGCATATGCATGGATTTATTTTTAAAGGCCTGGACTGATGATTCTTGTTATCATATGCTATTTTTATGATGTAAAGGTGTATTGGGCTGGTTTTGACAAGTTAGAGGATGAGAATGCCGTTCATCAAGTTCTCTTGCTTGGCTATCGGTCTGGATTCCAGGTCTGGGACATTGAAGAAGCAGATAATGTCCGTGACTTAGTCTCCAGACATGATGGTCCTGTTTCATATATGCAAATGCTACCGAAACCAATAGCATTGAAGAGACCAGTGGACAAGTATGCAGACAGCCGCCCCCTTTTGGTAGTTTGTACCGATGGGTCCCTCTCAGGTGGTACCAACCTTCAGGATGGGTTTGTTACTTCCTCCAATGGAAGCATGCTAAACTACCATGATCCTGGGAATGGTAGTTTTGTGCCTACTGTTGTCCAATTTTATTCCTTGAGATCTCAATCTTATGTACATATGTTAAAGTTTAGATCACTTGTTTATTCTGTAAGGTGCAGTTCTCGAGTTGTTGCTATATCTCAAGCAACTCAGGTATGTTTACTTAATATTTTCCTGATTACGGCATCTTCCTTTGCAGTGTGAGAATAAGCTAAGTTCTAAATATTGCAGATACATTGTCTTGATGCCACAACACTGGAGAGGGAATATACCATTCTTACAAATCCTATAGTTGCGGGCTTTCCTGGTACAGGAGGTATAGGCTACGGACCTCTTGCAGTTGGTTCCAGGTGGCTGGCTTACAGTGGAAGTCCAGTCACCAACTCCAGTCCTGGTCGTGTTAGCCCGCAACATCTTACCCCTTCTGCTAGTTTCCCTGGTTTTTCTTCAAATGGGAGCCTGGTTGCACATTATGCAAAAGAATCAAGCAGGCAACTTGCTGCTGGGATTGTGACCTTGGGAGACATGGGATATAAGAAGTTCTCCAAGTACTGCTCCGAGCTTCTGCCAGATTCTCATAATTCTTTGCAATCAGGAAGTCCTGGCTGGAAAGGCAACGGAACTGTTAATGGTCATATGCCAGATGCAGATAATATTGGAATGGTACATATAACTCTCCTTGATTTTGATTACACTTGCAACATACCGGTTTCATATGCTCTGTGTGTGTCTTCATGCACCCACATGAGTATTTAGGATGCATGTCGTATGATATTTGTGTTAACTTATGTGTCTGTAAGTTAGCCTCTACAAGTTGACTTCTTCAATTTCAATGATCAATATGATAGAAAATTATCCGATGAAAACTTTTATCTTCCATCATATAAAGCATGGTTTCTAATAAATTCCCTCTGATTTACTATACCCTTTCTGAAAGTTATTTTTCCATCCCATTGTATGATCAAGTTATCTGTATTGGAATACCAAAAAATTAAAAAAATAAAAATAAAAGGTCATCTATATTAGATACTGCATGCATGGACCGTCTTTTTGTTTCTCATCTTTTCTTTAATGGGTTTATCAGGTAATTGTCAGAGATATTGTCAGCAAAGTTGTTATTGCTCAGTTTAGGGCGCACAAGAGTCCTATTTCAGCATTATGCTTTGATCCCAGTGGGACTCTTCTGGTGACTGCTTCAGTTCAGGGGCATAACATTAATGTTTTCAAGATAATGCCAGGTCTTCAAGGAAGCTCTGCTACATGTGATGCTGGTGCTTCATTCATACATCTTTATAGGCTGCAGCGTGGTCTTACCAATGCTGTAAGGCCAGCTTATTTGTTTAACATATTTCTTGCATTTGCAATTCTAGACAACGTGGGCTTGTCTGAGCATTTTTTCTTCTTTTGGATTTTCAGGTGATACAAGATATTAGTTTCAGTGATGATAGCAACTGGATTATGATCAGTTCCTCAAGGGGGACAAGCCATCTATTTGCCATCAATCCTTATGGAGGATCTGTAAATTTTCAATCTAGTGATACGAATTTTACCCATAAACATAGTGGTCTAGGTGTCACAACTAAGCCACAAGCTCGTTGGTCACCTAATGTAGGTGCGCAAATGCTCAATCAACAGAGACTCTGTGCATCTGGACCCCCTGTTACACTTTCTGTTGTTAGTAGAATAAGGAATGGGAATAATGGATGGAGAGGAACTGTTAGTGGTGCTGCAGCAGCCGCTACAGGCAGGACAGTTTCCCTTTCTGGGGCCATTGCTTCATCTTTCCATAATTGCAGTGTAAACAGTAATTTGTTAGCTGATGATAGCTCTTTGAAGACAAAATACCACCTTCTGGTTTTCTCTCCTTCTGGATGTATGATACAATATGCATTGCGAATATCAGATGACCATGGTTCAACTCCTGTTGTCTCTGGATTAAAAACTGCTTATGAATCAACTACAGAATCTGATGGAAGGTTGGTAGTTGAGGCAGTCCAGAAATGGAATATATGTCAGAAACACACTCGAAGAGAACGTGAAGATAATATAGACATCTATGGGGAAAATGGAAGTATATCAGACAGCAATAAGATATATCCTGAAGAAATCAAAGCGGGAAACATTTATGCTGATGGTAAGGATGCAATAGCAAAAGAAAAGAATAATATTGCAGAAAAACATCATTTGTATATTTCTGAAGCTGAACTACAGATGCATCAAGCTCAACCATTGTGGGCTAAGCCAGAGGTATTGCACTCTTAGGACTTTCACTAGATGTCTGTGACTTGTGAGGTGTTAAAATATTTGATTGATGAAATTGAACTTTGTTCATTTCCTTTATCAGATATACTTTCAGTCAATGGTCATGGAGAGCATCAAAATGCGTGAAGAAGATGCTTTTGGTGGGGAAATTGAAATTGAAAGGCTTCCAACTCGCATGATTGAAGCAAGGTCAAAAGACTTAATTCCAGTTTTTGACTATCTTCAAAATCCCAAATTCCAGCAAGCAAGGTGTGGTGAAGTTCTATTGTGTGGCCTATCTATTGAATCTGCTTTTTTTTTTTTCCCTAATACTTTGACTTGCTATTTCTTCAAGATTTTCTTTCAAGTTTTGATAATTCAATTTAGAGGAATTGACTTTACATCGAAGTAGCTCGGTAGTTAATCCTGTTGCGTCTCACCAATTGATTGTGGATCCTGCTTTCAACAATTATGTTCTCTTCAAATTTATTTTCTAAAGATTTGGATTTTCTTTATGTGTGACCACTGTAGAAGTTCATTCTGTGGATGCCACAAAGTAATTGTGCTTTATGATATGCAGGGTCCCTGCTGTGGGTGGTAATGGTTATGGTAATGGGCGGCTGCCACATCAGAGGTCTGGATTGTCTGGAATTGGTCAACTGTCATACCAGAGCAGTTCTGGCTCTCTTGATTCAATGGTTGAAAGTGGTGCTGCAGTTTCTGAACGACGCAATGGCATTGAAGAAACTGGGTTAGACAGTCCTCTAATGCCAATAGAACCAAAGGGCCATGTAAATATCAATGACAGCCCTAAAGCAAACACTCAGCTTGAGATTGTAAATAATAGAGAGCGCTTGCAAAAGGAGGCTCAACTCAAGTTTGTAAATAATAACAACAAAGGCCTGAAAATGGAGAATCATTTTGAAGATGAAGGTGATGAGTTTGATTAGAGGTAATCTTCTAATTTCTGCTGTATTATTTACTGGTTCATCATTATTCAAAACAGTGTGGGGCTAAACTTTTCTTGTTTTCTTCCCAATTTCAGATGTTCAGCCATTCTTTTATTCTCCAAGAAAGGCCCTAACAATGTTGAATTACTAAATGGGTGGCCATGTAGACGAGAGTGAGACATAAGGGGAGGCTTGACTACGAATCAGAATTGTCTATACCATGTTGTTCTTGTAAATAACAGACAGTATATTGGCAATAATCAGTTTGTTATGTGTAAATCATAGTGTTACACCAGAAACTCTTTGTTGCCCCTTTTATTCTATCAATTTTAAAGTTCTCTATAATTTGCACTTAATTTATTATACATTAGATCAGCCAACCTCCTCATTCTCAAATTCTTAGCGTAATTGTTAGGAATGAAGATTAATTTTACTTCTGTTTTTTATCTTGATATTTGGCCATTGTTTGATTTCTTAGCTTGGAAATAGTCCACCATAAATAAAGTGAACCAGCCTCAGGAGTTAGGAATGAGTGTTCGAGTTGTGGAGGAACTGGTGTTTTTCCAGTTACTAAGATTGTTTTACAAGGTAAATTGAAAATGAGAGACTAATTCACTTTTGACGAGATGATGGCACGGCTTTGATTAGTTGAAAGTTGAGCAATTGCTAGATCAATAAGATGTTCTACCTTGATTTTAATAAATCACTATTCATTTGAAGATTGTTTTCTTTCATTCAATGATCACTCACAATTAAATAATAAGTCCATGATGGAGTTTCCAACCCAAAATTTCTGTCTTTAATGATTGATTTTTAGAACACGAATCATGATATATCATTATGAAGATGAAGATTAATGAACTTTTGGGCTAGAAGTATTAGTTGGAGAATGTTTAAAATGATCAAGAACTTTCCCCATAGGAAAAAATTACTTGAATTAGTTATCTCAAAACATGAAATCTATCTCTCAAAAATGGCGAAATCTTATATTATACATGTAATCTAACTGTCCTAATGGCAAAATTTGCATTAATTTGTTTTTGTAGAAAATGGTTAAGTAGATATATGGTTCCTGTATTCTCACTCAAATCCCACCAAAGATTATAAAAAGAGAAGGTCATTTTCCATTTAGAAACCATGTTCAATCAAAGTCCAAGTCTTCTTCTTCTTCTATAGTCTTCATGTGGAGGCAAAGCTATGTTACACCAAACAAATGTGCCAAATGCCCCTTTCTTTTTCCTCTCCCCCCCAATTTTTTTTGTATTTTTTTCCCCTCAACTTCTCTCCTTCTAAACCAAGCCAAATCTACAAAAAAAAATTCAAAACAACAGAGTTTCTTCTAAGTCCCATGTCTCTTTCCCATTAACAACCCTTCCTTCTCTCCATATATGGAAGAATGAATGAACTCCACATGTTCCCTAACACATCTAGCCTAAATATCAAGCAAGTTTAGGTAAATGATAGCAACCTTAAACACCAATAAAAAACCCTTGCTCTTTCAGCAATTCCCTTCATGGGTTCTTCCTGCCACCTTCCTCAGTTCTTCCCTTTAATCATTTCCAATTTCATGAAATAACAAGGCCTTGAAATCAAGCTGTCGCCGCAGCCTGGTTTTTGGGTTTCTGCCAAAAAAAAAAAAAAAAAATGCAGCTTCATATATCACCAAGCTTGAGGCATGTCACGGTGCTTCCTACTAAAGGTGTAAAAGAATTTATCAAAGTGAAGGTTGCATCCAGACGTGTTTCATACAGAATGTTGTTTTACTTTCTTCTCTTCTTCACATTTCTTTTGAGATTTGTGTTTGTATTGACAACAGTTGATGGCATTGATGGAGAAACCAAGTGTTCTACTCTAGGTAATATTTTTTTTTAAAAAAAAAGTCTTTTATTTTGAACAATATTAGCATGATATGTACTTCAAACTACAAAATAATAAGTAGATAAGAATATGTGTGTGTGAGTGTTAAAGTAATTTGAAAAATTAAAAATTTAATTTTAAAAAAAATTAATTTTGGGATAATTTATTTTTCTTCTGTAACAGGTTGCCTGGGGAAAAAAATAGGACCAAGGATCTTGGGAAGGAGGATTGAATCAAAAGTAAGTTTCCTGTAACATTCAACTAATTTTCTTTATTTTTTTTATACTAAAAAAAAAAAAGAATATAGGAATTCTTTTTCCTCCATTTCAAACTAATTTAAATTCCTAGTTGTTTATTAAAGGTCCCAGAAGTCATTTACAAAGTTTTAGAAGAACCCATGAGCAAAGATGAACTAAAGGGAAAAACTGATATTCCTCAGTCATTGGAAGAATTCATGGCTGAAGTTAAGGATGGCAGATTAGATGCTAAGGCCTTTGCTCTCAGGCTTAGAGAGATGGTAACATTCTCTATACCTAATTTTACGATCCTGCAGTATTTTAGGTTCTTTATTTACCTTGGAATATTTTTACAGGTAACATTGCTTGAGCAAAGGACCAGGACAGCTAAAATCCAGGAGTACTTGTACCGCCATGTAGCATCAAGTAGCATACCAAAACAGCTACATTGCTTGGCACTCAAGTTAGCTAATGAGCACTCCATGAATGCAGCCGCCCGCCTCCAGCTCCCCTCCCCTGAACTCGTCCCTGCCCTTGTGGACAACTCTTACTTCCACTTCGTCCTTGCCTCAGATAACGTGCTTGCTGCTGCCGTCGTGGCCAAGTCGCTTGTCGAAAATGCATTACGCCCGGAAAAGTTTGTTCTTCACGTAATAACAGACAAGAAAACTTACTCACCGATGCAAGCTTGGTTCTCACTTCATTCTTTATCCCCTGCGATAATTGAGGTTAAGGCACTGCATCATTTTGATTGGTTTTCAAAGGGGAAGGTGCCTGTTTTGGAGGCAATGGAGAAAGACCAACGAGTGAGGGCACAATTCAGGGGAGGTTCATCAGCTATTGTGGCAAATAATGGTGAACAACCTTATGTAATTGCGGCAAAACTACAAGCACTCAGTCCTAAGTATAATTCCCTTATGAATCATATCCGGATACATTTGCCAGAGGTAACAAGATACACTTCATCTTATTAATCAAAACTAGAAAATTTCTAAGTACAAGGCCTTGTTATACTTAGTTTATTTCAATTACATGGTTTTCTTTGCAGTTGTTTCCTAGCCTGAACAAGGTAGTGTTCTTAGATGATGACATTGTTGTACAAACTGATCTATCTCCTCTATGGGACATTGATATGAATGGGAAGGTCAACGGAGCAGTAGAGACATGCAGTGGAGAAGACAAATTTGTGATGTCGAAGCGATTCAAGAGCTATTTGAACTTTTCTCATCCTTTGATAAAGAAGAATTTTAACCCTAATGAATGTGCTTGGGCTTATGGTATGAACATATTGGATCTAGAGGCTTGGAGAAAGACCAACATAAGCCTTACATACCATTACTGGCTCGAAGAGGTAAGTGTTTTGCATTTTTTATACCTACACTTGATAGTTTAAACTTTTAGGTGAAACAATATTTCACATAATATTTTTTATTTTCCCTATGCAGAACTTAAAATCAGACCTGAGTTTGTGGCAGTTGGGAACATTACCTCCGGGACTAATAGCGTTCCATGGTCATGTCCATGTTATTGATCCATTTTGGCACATGTTGGGGCTTGGATACCAAGACAACACAAGTTTTGCAGACGCTGAGAGTGCTGGTGTCATCCATTTCAATGGTAGAGCAAAGCCTTGGCTAGACATTGCGTTCCCGAAACTCCGGCCATTGTGGGCTAAATACATTGATTTCTCTAATAAATTCATCAAGAGTTGCCATATCAGGGCATCCTGATAAGGATTTTTCGAGAAATTATTCATTAATGTGTGAATCATAATGATGATAAAGAGGTGTGCGAAAGAACAAGGGGCAGGTCTAGGAGAGAAGTTCTTTGCAATTTCGAAGCCTTCTATTTACATTTGTTAGATACTTAAAAGTGTTACACTTGAAAATTGGACAATCGAGATAATTTACGAACTTTGTGGACTCAAGTTTTAATTTAATAAAACTTGAGACACCAAGATTCAATTGTCTAATTAATAGATGAACTGCTTTCTCTTTACCTCAAAGAAACACTTTCGGTAAGATACATGGTGATAATAATTCAAATACTGCAATTTACTCAAGGAAACTAATACTGCACATATGTAACTAGAAGCTGAGTATTACGCAGGCAACAGACAAACTTATTAAAATTTACATATGATTACCAACATTAAATGATAGAAGTACAGAGACACCCACCAAATCCAGTTAGAAAACTTCAGCAAAAACTAATACAGCCCAAGGAACAATGACAAAATGAATGGTAAAATGCAATGCCTAACGACAATTAGTTGCCAGCTTAAGCAACAGGCGGGCGGAGTACATGGTCCTGTGAGGTGTCCACAGAAGCAGGAGGCATGAACTGCCACATGGCGACTCCTGGATAACTAATGAACGGGACCAACTTGTTGCCAGGGGCTTGGCCGTGTGCAGGAGCAGCAAATGTAGCAGGGATTGCAGGAGTGGCAGGCAAGAAGCTTGGCTGAGCAGTCATTGCTTTGAGTTGCTGTTCCAGCTTCTCCTTCTCTGCCTTCAGCCTCTGCTTCTCATCACGAAGCTCATTCTTTTCAGCCTGGAGAAGAGAAAATGCAGTTTAATGAAATCTCTTGTATAAATTAAAAATGTTAGGGTGTAGGGGTTAGCAGTTTCCAGAATGCCTTTGACCAGTGATCAGCACTTTACATTAAAAAGATTTCAGTAGAAAAAAGACTTTTGAGGCAAATTCACCTTCAACTCTTTAATCTTTTCTTGAAGACTTGAATTTGAATCCTTCAACTTCTGGGCTTCACCACGTAATTGATTTACCATTCGGACAGCATCAACCAAAATAGCAGCTTTGTCTGTCTTGGGAGGCCTTCCTGGATCCAGAATAGAACCCAATTCCAGAAACCTGTTATGGTAAATATTGAACATAAGTGCCGGCTGGAAGAACAAGGAAGTGAGCCAAGAAAAGACACAAGAAACAGGATGAAGTGAGTACTTGTCATTTAGTCTATCCCTCCGCAACTTCTCCCTACATGCTTTGGAGCTAGACACATTGCACAATTCAGATCTAACCCTGCAGCAGAAAACAATTAGGTAGACAAATAAACATTTGATAATTTCACAGGTGAAGGGTTTAAACCATCAAAACTGCATTAGCTGCTCATGGATAAATGCCCCTGGATGTTATTAATGTCCTTGAAGCATCATGGCCATTATAACCATGCATACGAATCAAAAAATTCTTTTAAATGATCTTCTCAATTCTAACTAAAACTACCTAAGTGGCTGATCTGCCATTCCATGAAACCATTTCCCAAGCTTTCAAAACATACAAATATTAGGAAATAAGTGATTAAGCCTCAACAAAAGGTATATATCATCAGTGAATCTGATGGAGCACACTAACAGCAACCCCAAAGGTTTACAAAAGGCGAGCCAAAGTAGGCTCTAAAGCCCATGGTTTAGTTTGACAAATGGCCAATGTTGAGAAGCTTAGCTGGGAGCTTAATTAAGTCTTTTACTAGTAGTTGTCTTCTATTATTTTTAAAGTTATTTAATTTTTGTCAAGTCCTAATTAGATTAGAACTTCTAAATAAGAGTTCTATTAGGAATTTTAGTAGTTCCTATATATATACATGCTTGTAGTTTCTTTAGACATTCAGTTAATAACATTCAGAATTTTCCAGTAAGTTTTGCTCTTGCTCGCGTGAAGCAATAAACCTTAGGAGTGATGCCTAGGGTTCTTTATTCTTCCCCCTCTTCTAAACTACATTCCTAACCTCTTTTACTGTTCACAAGCACCGTTCATAGCCTAAACCACCTTTCAAACAAGTACTGAATCCTAAAGCCCACCAGACCACTAACCTGTCCCGCACCAGAATCTCTTATGTTCATCCATCTTTAACCCCATCTTGTTTAGATTAAATCAGAACACAAGCAGAAGACAGAAGGGTACCTCTTCTTTGAGCCAGATTCCTTATGCCCATCTGAATCCCCGAGTGAACCATCAATTTCCACACTAGGAATAGATCATAACTCATAACAAGTTAAGAACATACAAAAAGAAACATAAGAAAAGAGATAAAGCCGCAAATTATTACTTTGAACCAACTATTATGCACTGTTTCAAAAAACCCAAAATTGTTTATTATGCAAAAAATAGATTTGCAACATAAACAATCTGGTCGGCTCTACACAAGTATTAGAGAAATTTCAAATTTTTGAGTAAGAAACACCACAAAGTTGAAGAAACTAACCCTAAATTACTGAGAAAATCAACGTCACAACTAGCAATCAGGTAAAAAGCTTAATAAAATCCCAATTAAGAACCAGATTCGATACCAGACAACATTAGGCGGAGCGCTGCTTGGCTGCGTTGACCAGGTAAACCCAGAATACGGAGCGGGAAAATTCCCGTCATTGACCTGGATATCGTCCATGAAAGAAGCGTAATCGAACTGGGACCAATAAGCCGTGCTTTCAGGAGACACCATTATGCTGCAATTCGGCCGGGAAATCCCTGTGGGCTGTTTGATTTTTCCGGGTTTGGTGAGGAGAGGCTGGGTTGGCGGGCGGCGCCTGTTTGGGGAGAGAGAAAATGAAGGTGGGGGGGATTTGATTTTTTATTTTCTCGGGAAAAGGAAAAGGGCACGGGAGATGGAATCTGCGCTGAGATTGGGGTTTTGATTGGTGGGAGGCGGTGGTGGTATCACTGTAAATCATCCAGTAAACGTGGGGATTTACGTGTTGGGCTTTAAAAAGCCCACGTGACGTTTGACTAATCGGGCTTCTTTCTTATCTTTTTTGCAACACTATTGTGGGTCAGCTCGCATGTTTTAGTAACATAAT